GTTGCTGAGTAATATTCCATTGTATATATGTACCACATCTTTCTAATCCAGTCATCTACTTTTGGGCATTTGGGCTGCTTCCATGTTTTTCCAACTGGGGCCTTTTTAACAGATTAACTCAACAAGTCAAGACCTATGAGCCAACTTCAGTGAAGGCAGCGTAACACACATCCAGTGGCTCACTCCTGAGCATGAAGAGCGGTGGTAAAGGACCCAGACACTGTACTCCACGAAGGTATCGGCACCTCCCTTGTCAGGGAAGCAGGGACAAGGTAGGGGGCAGGGGAAAGTGGCTCCCCTAACCAATCCCCATGCTCTTTCTCCTCTCTCCAAACCTTTCCGGGGCTCTTCCCATCTCTGTCATCTGCTAACAGCTTCTCATCGTGAGGTCTACGGTAAAAAGACTTCAGACTCCTGAATCCCAGCCATGCAAGAAGCACCGTCATGTTGTCTCACTTACTTTTCATATTACAGATGAAGAGTGCAGGCATACGAAGGTCTCCAGGATCTCACAAGACAGCCTGACAATGCTTTATACCTGACTCATCTGTTAATGAAACAGTCAGGCTAGGCTTCAGTGGGCTAAAAACATCACATGAGGATTTGAGCTTGGCCTCTTTGGCATCAGGAGGAGGCCCTTTATAAAGGTCGATAGGAGCACCCAGTTTTGTCACTTTCCCTAGGCACTGTGAAGCTCAACATCCTTGTTAGCCCTGCCAGGCCCTTTCCATGTGTCTTCTCCCCTGACTGTGCAAGGAAACAGTTGCTCTCGCTCTCTCTCTCTCTCTCTCCTCCAGTGTGTCCCTTGCCTAAGCCTGTTGGCTGCCGTAAGAGTGGGTGCCTTCTGGTCCCTGATCCTTCACATGGACACACCTGGAGCTTTCACAGTACTGGGCAGCCACTGTCCTCTGTGCAAAGAAATGCTGTGCTTGTTGTGACGCTTTACACGGCCGGGCATAGAAGCTAACTGTGACTGAAGAAGAAATGTACAGACTGTAACTGAGGTCAGGGGATGAGAAGAAATGTACAGACTGTGTAACTGAGGTCAGGGAATGAGCTAGGTTTAGATATGGCTGGATTGAGTTTTCTATGCATGCTATGAAGCTTAAGTTCCCAGGTCTTCATGGCTTGACCTTGTCTTAGTCTCTGAAGACTGGAGCGCAGATCCCCAGGCTGGAACACCGCCCTTCCTGCCTGGCAAGGGAATGGTTTGGTTTCGCTCAGGTGGCCATGGATGCGGGAACCCTCCGACACCTCCAGTTTTCCTCCCAACCCCCTTCAGGGTTCCCATAAGCCCTCGGGGCTTTATGCTAACAGAAGACATTTCCCTGTATCGTCGTGCATGCTCATCTATCCCCCACACCAGGATGCAAGCTCAGGAGCCCGGGATTCTCACTTGCTGCTCCAAATCCTCAGCACCTGCTAGAGGCCTTCTCACAGCCGTCCTTCCTCAGAGGGCTTCTATGAACAGACGAGCATCGAACACGTGGCTGAGGGAGATGGCTGATGGCCTAGCTAATTATGGAGCTGACTTGAGAGTTTCATAAAACTGAACTTCAGCTTATCCCTGACCTCGGAGGAAACAAAAGCCTCACCGATGAAACCAAGAGTGGAGAGAGCAGGGCCAAAGCTGATCGCTTCCTTCCGTATTTCATGGGCTGGTCTGCAGTTTCTGTAGCCTCCTTGACTACCCGGGAAATCAGCTGAAGCCAAGAAAGGTTATGTAAGTGAATAAAACTTTTGTTGTGCATACCAGCTGGATTTGTTTTTTCTAGTAGTGAATCTCTAGTGTCATTTCAAACAGTATCTGAAATTGTGTTATGTGTGTGTTTGTGCAGGAGCACAGGCATATGAGGCTTTACAACGTGATTGAACAAACACAAGTAACCTTTACATTGTAATACATAAGTGAATCTCTAATGGTGAACTGTGTAGGGTAAGTTTTGTTTTGTTAGGAATTTGATAATTTTAATTTCCTACAGTATTAGTTTATATGGACTTCTAAAAAGGAAAGCGTCACTTTATCTTCCATTTTATAGTTCTGTGTTTACCTTCCATCAAACTATAACTGCTCTTTGAAGATGAAACAGTCTCTTCAAATCCTGCAATGAGACCCTACCCACTTGTCATTATTTATTTATTTCACACAGCTCTCAGAGGGACTGACCATCTGAGTCTACTTATTTGCAATCTGACTTTTTCTCAAACTGATCAAACCACTTAACCATAAAAGTAACAGATTAAACACTCAGGCAAAATCATGTATATTGATAATATAATCTTTTCCAAATAGTCCCTTTTAATCTTTTTAAATGCATATTTTAAATCAGAACTTATGAATACATTTGCAACTTACTTTTTAAAAAAGAACAACAGTATGGCTTCTTTTAAAACATTGGACCCACTCTCTCTAAGAAACTACACACGCCCATAGGTACACCCGTTTTTGCTGTTGGTGTGGGTTTAGAATGAAGTAACTAATAACATCATCAGTGCCCCTTACACTGGCGACAGCATCTGGACATCTACAATACCTCCTAATTTGAAGAATGAGGCTTTTATTCTCCTGAAGGAAAAAATGAGTTTTGCAAAACCGGCAAGGATAACATAGAGCAACAGGCACCCCTCAGTCTTCTCCGCTGGCGGAGCGGGTGAGCTGGCTTGCCACACTAGTCAACTAGAGTATGGCAGGTTTTCTATGCTGGGCATCTCTTGTGGTTAAGGATTCAGTGACAACCTGCTATTTACATTTCAAGGCTCATGTGCAACGCAAATCTCACTTTGGACTGGGCACTATTTATTGCCACCCTGACTGGGTGAACTAGTGAGAAGTGGCTCTTAAAACGTGCATGTCTTGGTTCTGGGTGAAGCAGGGTCAAGAACTTCTTTTCTCAAATGGTAGCTGGAAGCCAGCTTCGGAAAATAGTGCATTCTGCAATGTGCTTTGGATCGGACCAATGAACATGAGGATTCTTGGCTTGATTTTACCCCCCTTCACCCCACTGACGAGCCTCGGCAGTTCCCACCATCAGCAAGGATGGTAGAGGGAAGTGCAGCGGAAGAACAACTTATGAAAGCAGAATCAGAATTAGAGGCAACCTGATAAACAGGATGGGAGACTCTGTATTGCCAGGACATACTTTTGGATCGAATCACAACATGGGTCTTCTCAATACCGTGGAGAACAGGAGGACTCGGGGTGTGAAGCCCACACTGAAGCAATAATCTTGTCTTTTGAGGCGTTAGCATCCCCTCCCCGGCACTTGTTTTACTAGGGGCGGCTGGAGGTGAAGCTGGTCAGGGGCGAACGCCTTCCCGACACCGACCCAGAGTCGGGTGTGTGTGTGTGGGGGGCACAGACTGCTGTCCCCAAGTCCTCATGAAGGACATGGACGGGGCCAAGTCGCCATTTGATTTTTGACACCGGCCGAGGCACCTGGTGCGATAGTGGTGAGCAAGCCTCGGGCGCCCCACAAGGCAGCGACCCCTCGTGGGGACCCCGGGGGAATCACTTCAGACAGGACTTCGACGAGCCAGACGCCCACGTTACCGAGGCCGTCACTCCGGTGACCCCTAACCGCGGCGACACCTTCGTTCCCGAGCCCTCCCCCTCCTCCAGGACCCCCACCCCCGTCGTCCTCTCGCGGGCCGGGTGGCGGCACCATCGACG